TATATTACTTGTGTGGTGTAGAAGATAAGTATTTAAGAATGTAATTATGTAAGAATGTTAACACTCTGTTATAATTCTTTAGTATATTACTTGTGTGGTGTAGAAGATAATTATTTATGTAGAGATACTGCTTGCAAACCAATGATGGTAAGATGATGTCATGGGGTAGGACTGGATAAGTCTGACTTCTTCCTACTCCATTCAAGCATGTACTAGGTATAAGCAAATTGATAATGGATTAGCATTTGTTGGATATGTGTAAAATTATGTGTGTTGATATATCAACTGTCTTTACATGCTTGAAAGAATAAATCAAAATCAAATAAAAAATCAAGGGCAGGCTGATGTTTTATGTCAGAGCAGGAAAATACACGCACATCCTTTGTGATTTGTGAATTTGGTAAATTAAGTAAGTTTTAGATTTGATGTTTTGTGTTTGTTGTAAATGAGCCCTTGATTATCCCGAGAACAATGGGCCTCATTCACCAACTCTTCTAAAGAACAAATTTCTTTGTAAAACACATTTATGAAGTTTTTTTTATCTGGGATTTGTTCTTAGGTAAGAACAGAATCGATGCAGACAGATGCACATTTGGGTGCTGACATTTATGTGAAATAAATAGTTCTTTAGTTTCTTCAGTTCTACAGTTATGTTTAAGTTACAGTAACAGTTTTGTCATTATCAGTATTTAATTTTTTTCTCATTATTTTACAAAGCATTATGGTCTTAAATAAACACTACACAAAAAATTATAGCAAGCAATTTGTTTATAAATCATGGTTTTAAAATTTTACAGTGTGATTATTTGTAGTTTAGAATTACAAAATGCATCACTTAAAAAACCAAACACATTTAAGTGCATATCTTTATTTCTAATTTCTGTTACAGTAATGTTTTAAAATTGCATCCTGGATATTTTGGCTAGTGTTGAGTTAGTCTGTGTGAGTGTTTGGTTGTCTAGCTCCACATCTCAGATCAGACTCAGGGCAGTTAAAGGGACCTGGGTGGACCATGGAGGTGCGCTCAGCTGATGCCACACCCAAGGGAACAGTGTGTGGGCCCCAACACACTGGTCCAGCTCAGATAGCTCTGGGCCAGCCAGTCCTCCTCCACTGGTCAGGCTCTTTTTTATGTTTGTTTTGTTGCCTCAAACCATCACCTCCTCAGATAGCTCTGGGCCAGCCAGTCCTTCTCCACTGGTCAGCCTCTCTCTTATGTTTGTTTTGTTGCCTCAGATTTGAGCTCAAACCTTCACCTTGTGTTTACTGAACGAGTAAGAGCATCCCATGTGCTTTCTTTGTTTTATTTTATATACACTACTACCACTGTTAATATGGCAGCTCATTTGTTGTTCTCTCATGTGCTTTCTTTGTTTTATTTTATATGCACTACTACCACTATTAATATGGCAGCTTACAGTATTTGTTGTTCTCCATTTCATAACTACTTCCGTTTGGAGTTCGTTGCTCCACTGTATTTATGTGTTCGTTGTAGCACTTCTGGCTTCCTCAGCTTCTCTTTTCAATTTCTGTGTGAGATGTGTGCACGTGGCTTTGTGGTCTCATGCCCTTTTGTGGGCATTAGTGGGACGTTAACCTATGCTAATTAGGAACGACTAGAAGGCTCTTTCAACTTATGAACACCTGGGATTCACCAGTGTAAGAACACGGATGCGAACAATTCTGCGGTTTAAGAACACGGTCATGAATCTTGCGTAGACTTTTCTTAAGACCTTTCTCAAGAACAAATTTAAGAAAACGCAAGATATTGGTGAGTGAAGCCCAATGTTCAGCCTGAAAAGGAACAGCAGATCATTTAGTTAGATGATTATTTGTAATTTAAGATGTAATATATCTGTACACTGTGCCAAGTAAACTAGTGGAATTATTATGCAGAGTGACACTGAAGTTGGTCTTTTCCTTTTTTGAATGAACAAAGCATCTTGTCCTGATTGGCTCAGGGAATGCTTGCATCATTACTAGCAGGTAGTACAGTAGCTTTTATTGTCTTACTCTGATCGTCCTGTGTTTTTGTGATCTCCCTGTAGTCTCTGAGGTAGTGCAGACCTTACAGCTGTGTACAGACAGAGACCAGTCAGATGTGGTGGGAGATCTGTCTGTCTGCCTGGATGGCATGACTGTTGACCCCGAGATGTTTGCCACAGCCGAGGCTGAACATCACAGTGAGTTAAGCCACATCAAGAGGATTTCATACAGTCACATTAGATACACAGTTTTGTTAGTCAGTTTGACTGGTTTTATTATGGTTGAACTGGATCACGTGTGTCTGCTTCATTTATGTTGTGTGTTTTTACTTCAGGCAAATTAAATGGGGAATTGCAACCTAACGGGGATCACGTCATTGGGTACAGTACCTATTCCTATCCTCATTTGAGTTTCGTTAGTGTCACATTTCTGGTTTCTGCTTTTTTTTACCCTACTTTATTTATTGCCACTCACCCACCCTCCTCACAGGCGGAGTCGGGACAGCTCTCCAGCTGTGGATTGTTCAGAGCCCAGGTCCTCCCCCTGTGGCCAGAAGGCTGCAAACGGCACAGGGTCTCCCTCAGTGTCATCAGGGGGCTCAAGACCTCTCCGACCACCCAGGCCCTCCAGACCTCCTCCTCCAACCCCCCGCAGACCCACCTCTTCACCAGGTCAGACATTTACTGAAGGACATTCCCATTCTGATATATTCTGTACACATTTCAATTAAGAACATGAGGAAAACAGGTCAAGTGCTCTTCCTCTTACACTGACTGTGTATTTTGTCACAAGCTGTGCCAAACATTTACCCTAAGGCTAAACTGGGAGTTGGGCCAATGCTTAACTCACACGCTTGTTATATGACTGGTTAATATGGTAACCAGTCATATAGTTAAGTTAATATGAACTGCACAAGTAATTAGACCAAAAGCCATCAGTGTTGCATCTGGGGAGAAAAATTGATCTTTCATTAAGTCTCTGCTTACACAACTTGCAGCAAAGCCCTTGGTGATGTCTGATTCCTTTTGCAGCATCTTGGAGCAATGGCCCTGCACCGGCCGATGGCATTGATGGTCATTCAGGTTCTGATACACCAGTGCGAACACCGGCCTCAGCATCCTCATCAGCACTGGACTCAAGTCCGTCATTGGGCTCAGACGGGAACTCCACACCGTCCTCCAACTGTGCAGCTGCAGCAACCAGGCAGCCAACCAGCGGCATCACTCCCGTGCTACCCTCCAGGGTCCCCTCTGTCAACACTGGGCCTTTGCCCCCAGGGTTAGCTCTCATTTTGAAGTCTTTGCTGAAGAGCTGAGGGTGGTTTGGTTCGAGAGTAATCGGAACAGTATTTAATTTTTATATGTTTATAAAGTGTCATTAGTGCAAGTTTATTGTGTTGTTAAAGAATAAAGCATAAAAGATTAAATATTTTAGTATCTCCTGGTGTCACGCTGATAGTCTTGTCGTGCCAAAGCTACAGGGAGTTGCATCAGCGACAACAAAGTGAATCTGAGAATTCTAACTTTATTTTGTGATTGTTTGACTGGGGTTACATTGTAAAGCAGGAATAAACACAGTCACACCTCCACACACATATAATGCCTTGAAGTTTACTGTCATTGTTTTTATCTAGGTGGGAGCAGAGGGTGGATCTGAACGGCAGGGTGTATTTTGTGGATCACGTGGAAAAAAGAACAACATGGGAACGTCCTGAGCCACTACCCCCTGGGTAAAAAAAAAGTCCTCCTCATCTGAACTTTCTCTTCACAGATGCAGATAGTCCCTTTTTTTCTTAAGGCTTTATAGGATTGTCATCTATTTGTAAATCAAATAAGATGGATGGTCTCACCATCTTAAAGACATGGAGCTCTGGGCACTGCTGCAGTAGATGGAGTAGCTATCAATATGAAGATGAATCAAGGTTCAAGTAGTTAAAGTTTCTCTTTGTCTTGTTAAGCAAGTCTTTTCTAATTCTACATAGGAGTCGTACATAAATGCAGCAGACTATGATGACTTCAGAAGTCACATCACTGAGGCCTGCATGCTTTTCAGTGATTTTTGGCCAGACTGTCTCTTGTATTTTGCAGAGAGGAGTATGTGACTAGATCTTGTGCCTCCTTCGTCTGTCAGAGTGACAATTTGTCTGTAATTCGTCTTTAGCTGGGAGCGCCGTGTTGACCAGATGGGGCGGGTTTATTTTGTTGATCACATTACTCGAACCACCACGTGGCAGCGACCCACAGTGGAGACGGTGCGTAACTATGAGCAGTGGCAGCACCAGCGCAACCAACTCCAGGGCGCCATGCAGCAGTTCAACCAGAGGTTCATATATGGGGTGAGACTTCCTTTTTCAAATGTGATGTTACATGGCACTGCAGGCTTTTGTAGACTGGAATGTGGTGACTACTATGGCTACTGCACGTTCGGTTTCCCTGTGTGTGGGAACAGAAGTGTGCCACTTCCACGAGCTTCCAAGAATGAGTTACTGTTACCATGTTGAGCCTTCCTCTTAATGCTGACACTTCAGTACACTTAGAAGTGTCAGTGCACACTGTAACCCAGTTACTTTTTAATCAGCAGATCACAGTTATAGTTCAGTGAGTGTATTTACCTAAACGGCATTATTGTGTTTTTTTTACACTGCTGGTTGTCAAGCCACACCCGGCTTAAAGATATTGCTTTGATTCAAGGTGATATTTGTCTTTACAGCTCATTCTTCCCTCATAATTCTCTTTGTCCTGCTAAACCGAAGTAACCCATCTAAGAGTCTTTTGATTAATGTCTGCTGTGTAGGTACAAGACCAGGCCCCAGCCACTCAGAATAAGGAGTTTGATCCTCTCGGGCCACTGCCACATGGATGGGGTAAGCGCTTTAAGGTTTTTCAGTTTAAATACAAATACTTCTGAGGCATAATTTAATCTGTGGCATTAAAAACTAGCCATTCATTTCATAGCTGAGGCATATTTAGTGCATACTTTGATTTTCTCCCAGAAAACATTTGTAATCACAAACATCCCAGAAATCCCACACATTTCCACATAAACCAAGGTGCATTATCATATACACGATGGATAAATTCAGTATTGGGACGCTATACAAATGAGAACTGCTGTCTGTTTACTCGAGCGTTGCTTCCTGTGGACCAAATCGAGCGATCAATCAAATGCTGTGCTTCTCTCAGATTTATTGCATGTAATACAATGGTTGTGCGGATTTATCTAATTATTACATAATTTGAGTCACCTCTTCTCTCCCTGATCTCCCTCAGTGAATGCTTTCCTTCAGTAGCATGCTACCTGGCTCCTTCTCCTAGAACCCTATTAATATACCGCAGTACTTCCCGACGTATGCCACAAGACTCATTCTAGCAGCTTGATAAACTCTAGGTACACGTATGAGTGTCTGTCTTTGGTTATGTTGCACTACAATCGACTGCTTGTTACATTCTTTCAGAGAAGAGAACGGACACCAACGGCAGAGTTTATTTTGTGCATCACCCTACACGGTCAACGCAGTGGGAGGACCCACGACAACAGGGGTTAGTTTGCACACCTATGTTTCTTTGCATATGCCACTGCTGTCATTTCTGCTAGTGTCTCACATGGATGTCCTGAAATAATCCATCTCTTAATGTTCATATAATTTTTATTTTAGGTTGCTGAATGAGAAGCCGCTTCCAGAAGGCTGGGAGATGAGGTTCACTGTAGATGGTATTCCTTACTTTGTAGACCACAACAGGAGAACCACCACCTACATCGACCCACGCACTGGAAAGTCGTCACTGTATGATATTCTCTATGTTGTTTTCTACTCACTCAAAATCTTATCTTTTGAGAATCACATAGTGCTTATTATTTTGTTGCTTAGAGAGGAGTCAGTTAATCAGTGATTGTGGACTTTGGTTTCTACAATCAGAAAAAAAATTGAATGTTGTGGAAAAGGTTTTTAATTATTATTTTTTTGTTTATAAAAAAAAAATTTATTTCAAAAATTGATTCATTACACATGAAGTGAAATTTTTCAAGCCATTTCTTGTTTTAATTTTAATGATTACAGCTTATGGAAAAAAAATCCAGTATCTGAGAATATTAGAATATTATGAGATTGAGTAAATTACTGTTCATACAGTATAAAATACCATGTATCTGTCGGTCTAGTTCAGTACGTGCAACCACAGTCATGAGGAAGACTGCTGACTTTCTGGTTATTCAGAAGAACAAGGAGTGTAAGCCACAGAAGATCATCGCTGAAAGGGCTGGCTGTTTGCAGAGTGCTGTATCGAAGCGTATTCATGGAAAATTGACTGGAACCGCAAAGTGTGGTAGGAAACCACCACACACAGACGGCTTCAGGGGATGGGCTACAACTGGTGCATTCCTAGTATCAAGCCAGTCCTGAATCAGAGATGGCATCAGAAGTGTCTTACCTGGGCTGAGGAGAAAAAGAACTGCACTGTTGCTCAGTGGTCCAAAGTCCTTGTTTCTTTTCAGATGAAAGTAAATTTTGCATTTCATTTGAAACGAAGGTCCCAGAGTCTGGAGGGACAGTGGAGAGGCACAGAATCCAGGTTGCTTGAAGTCCAGTGTGAAGTTAGTCAGTGATGATTTGGGTGCCATGCTATCTGCCGGTGTTGGTCCACTGTGTTTTATCAAGTCCACAGTCGACGCGGCTGTCTACCAGGAGATTTTGGAGCACTTCATGCTTCTGTGTGCTGATGAGCTTTATGAAGATACCCATTTCCTTTTCCAGCAGGATGTAGCACCTGCCCACAGTGCCAAGACTGCCACTACCTCGTTTGCTGACCATGATATTACTGTGCTTGATTGGCCAGCCAGCTCTCCTCACCTGAACCTCATAGAGAATCTGTGGGGTATTGTCAAGGGGAAGATGAGAAACGGACGAGCTGAAGGCTGCTATCAAAGCAACCTGGTCTTCAGTAACACCTCAGCAGTGCCACAGGCTGATCGCCTCCATGCCACGGTGCAATAATGCAGTAATTCGTGCTAAAGGAGCCCCGCCCGATCGAGTGCATAATTAAACATAGTTTTCAGAAGTTGGACATTTCTGCATTGTAAATCTTTGTTTTATTGATCTTATGAGATACTGGATTTGTGATTTTTGAGCCTAAGCCATACTCATTGAGATTAAAACAAAAAATGACTTGAAATATTTTACCTTACGTGTAATAACTCTAGAATATCAGTGTTTATTCTTTTGAATTAAATTGGAAAAAAAAGTTGTACATGCCAGAAATGAACAAGAGATGTGTCTTTCTAGTGGGACAACACCACAGAGTGCTTGTACCTAATGTTAAGGTTACTTGTCCAGGATGTCACCACACCTGACAGCTCACATCGACTTGTCTACCACTCAAACAAAACCAAAGTAATTGTACTCAAGCCACGTTAGGCTTTCGAATTATTATCATGAGTCAACTGAGAATACCAGAACATGTGTGAGAATACCAGAAGGAAAAGCATACTAAAGGTGACCCATTAGTCACATCAGGGTAATGCGTCACATGTTCTAAAAATAGGCACAATGACTCATATCACTGAAAGTTCCTAAACAGAACCACCTGGTAAACAGAGTTACCTAGTGACGTACTGGATATTCGAATACAAGTTAAACAGATACTTCGGGTTGATGTAAACCTGATGAAATAGGACACCTCTCAACTTAACAGCAGCTTCACGAGTTCGTTTTAATGAGTTAATTCTTAACATATTTATAGTATCCCACTTCCAAGACTGTGCACCGTAATACTCTTTGGAATCTTATCAACAGCTTATTGTTGATAAGGAGTATTACAGTGGTTAAATGGGTAAAGTAACACTTAATATTAAAGCGTATTAAGAATCTCTGCATCTTTTCCCTCACAGTGAAAACGGACCTCAGATCACCTACGTTCGAGACTTCAAAGCCAAAATACAGTACTTCAGATTCTGGTGCCAGGTAAGAATCATAACAGTTTGATGGATTGGTGGCTTCTTTGAGCACATTTCTTTTCTATCTGCATCAGTCATAAAAAAAGTCCCATAACAATCTGTAGACCTCTTTAATTTATTGCTTATTTAGAAGTCACCATTTTAAATTGTATGGAAGGGATCAGCAATCATGCAACTGGAGGACCAGAGTGGGTGATTTCACTGATTGGAACCTCTTCAACCACAAAGCACAAACTGATGAGAGGGTTCTGTAAATAAACCTGTTTGAGGTGCACTGTGTGAAAAACTAAAACGATGCATGGAGAGACATGGCATCAGTTTGCGTCATCTGTCTGCTGCACTCGTTTTGGAATGTTTGTTTGTTGTTGAAAGGAAAACAACCATTCTGTTTCTCAACTTAAGTGTGCTGCTATAGAGAAAGGGACACCTTTCTCTCTTGTAATAACTTGTAGAACAATTAAATTAAGCAAAAGCATAAACTATATTGGACCCATAGACTTCATACATATGTGTCTTCCTTATCAACTGTGATCTTTCAGTGATCTGAAAGCACATTTGACTGCTAAGTGCTTCTGATATTTTCCCTTTTCTTCAGCAACTGGCATTGCCTCAACACATCAAGATCACTGTAACCAGAAAAACGCTGTTTGAGGACTCCTTCCAGCAGGTAGGCCATTCAGTGAACCTAATGCTTGGAAAATGTGCCTCGCCTGCTCGATGATGTGGTCCTATTGTAATCAGTATAATTACCACATTAGTTAAATCAAAATTGGGTGGCTGCTGGTTTTTCAAAGTGTAAGCAAAATTCCTAAATGATGCAAGTTTAAGTTTTTTAAAGTATATCCATGTTTTAACAGCAATTATGGGTTTTATATTATAAAAGTAAAATCCACAGATATGTGGATGCAGCTTCTGGACACCAGTGACGTAGGGCTTCCTTTTGGCACAGTACAGTTTTAAGTAGCATTTATGGATGTAACTACATATTGTAGTGCCTGACACAGGTGTGCCAATGTAATCCTGAGCCCATGTGGTTATATCGCTTATAGAAGAGCGACGATTCTTGATGTAGCGCCGTCTGAGGGACCACAGTCATCCAGCTTAGGCTTGAGCCCTTTGCCCTTTACGCACTGAAATCCCTCCAGATTCCTTTTAATCATGTTCTGCACTGTAGAGGGTGACGTATCCAAAGCCCTTCCTGTCTTCATTTGAGGAACATTGGTTTTAAACATTTCAATAATTTTATCACACATATGTTGACAAATTGGCGGTCCTCGGCCCATCTCTGCTCCTAAAGGGCTCGGCCTTTCCTGGATGCCGCTTTTGTACCAAATCCTGATTACAGTAACCTGTTGACATCAGCTGTTTCAAATGTTATCATCATTTCAATGTTTTACCTCACTACTGGCCCTGAAATGCCACCGTCCCAACTTTCTTTTGGAATGTGTTTCAGGTGTCAGAATTGAAGTGTTTATTAGAATAGATTCAACTTTATTGTCATTACCCATGTACAAGTACAAGGCAACGAAATGCAGTTATTATTTATTATTAGTTATTCTGAAGAAAGAGCAAAATTGATGAGGTATCTTCAAATAATGTGCTGCTGTATTGTTTTCAATGTAATACAGGACACATGATTTACACATCACTATTTTCAGTTTTAACTTTGATTTTACCTACTCCCCAATTTTTTTCTGATTTGGGGTTGTATACTTTTTAACATAAAAACATAAAAAAAATCAGTATTAATATAATAGTAATAAGTATAAGGAAGCAGATATATTTTATGATCATATTATCTAATGAACTTGGAGGATAAGGCCAGTGAATTTCTCTTTCTCTTTTTCCCACAAATCCCATCCAGACTAACTACAATGAATTTTGTATAATCACTGTGAAGTCTGTGAATCCAGAACCAAGTTTAGCTTATTTGTCTGTGCCATAGTTCGGCATCGTTATCCAAAAATAATTAAAACACACCAGTGCGCCACAGTGCTGCACTGGGAGTCATGTCAGCGCATGCACAGTTGCACACTCT